AAAAAAAAATAATCAATTTCTATCTTATTATTGATCATATTATCATCGGTCGATTTAAACATGTCCAAAAAAGGTATATTTTTTTGATTTATTATACATGCGCGATCGAAAAAATTCGAAGGACGCAAAACACATGTACTATGTCATGAAACTTACTAATCATAAGATAAATATATCCTTACATATACAAACATTCTGCTTCATTTTATCATACGTAAACGTATTACTATAGAAAACTATCATTCTTGATGTAGCCATCATATTCTTATCTATAATGTTCGTTTTCTTGTGCAATATTTATTCATTATTAATAGAAAAAAGGTTTGAGAAATTTATTATATATTACAAAATAATAAAAAAATTAATGTGATAACATTAAGCAAATTATTTCAATCGAACAATAACAATACCATTTGCCACAATTCAATGTTTTTTTTTCTATACATTCGCTTTGTATTCGAAAGAAATAAATACAAATTATTTATGTACCTAAACAGATTTTCTAATGCGAATTCGATTCAATTTTGGTTCTAGTTATGATTTGCATTTACAGAAGTTAAGCTCTAGTTGAATATATACGGAATCAATGCAATCTTATTTCAAGTCATTTGTTTTAACTAGACATGATATAATAAATGAGAAAAACAAACAGGAATATATTTTGTAATGAACTTACAAAAATATCCAGTAATCAATAAATAATATAGTGTCTTCTTAATACGTAAAATCTGTTTAGCTAGTCAATGAGTTATTGAAATACTATATACTATGAATAAGAAGTTTCGATATCAAATCTATCAGTTTTTGAATTACTACGTATTGTTAATATTTGTTTGCAATGTTTACTTATCCTGCAAAAGTTTTCATTAGTTAATCAAATCAGTACATATAAATGTCATTAGAACAAGTACTGTGTCAATGAACAATAATCACTCTAAATGTTAATGTGATCGAGTATACAGATAAAATTCATATGTATTAAAATAGAATTTTCGTAGATGTCTCGAAAAATTATATACATAAATGTTATATGTAAACAGAGACCTATAGGATATGACATTTTCGTTACGTCTACCTGCACTTAACAAATTTTTGTCACCTTACCCTGTGACCTTTGTAACCTGTGGACTCGAAATATCAATATTTTTTACTTAGTATCTGTATCAGATCAATCAGCGTCTCAATGAGCGTTACTGCGATGATGATTATTCATCATATACTTGCATTAATTGTACCAATGTATTGTAAGATTATTTTTTTGTAAAGTTTATGCCTTAGTATACTCATTGACAATAAATAAACGATTAGTTTATTAATTAGTAAAAACTAACTTATATTCTAGTCTAACATTCAAAACAAAAGTATAAGCTATGTATTACAATTGCGTATATATAGAAAAAAATTTAATTTAAATCAAAATCATTCTGTTTACAAATATTTCTCTCATAATATTTTATCGAAGAGCGTTTAATATTCATCAATTGATAATATCTATCATATTATTTTTTGTAAATTGCTTGATGAAAAAAGAATCTCTATCTTTCTGGATGCATATAGCTACTTTCTTTAAATTAATGATAACTATTGAATTCTGAATATCAGTTAAATTGATTTTAATCATTGCAAAATGAAACATATAGAATAACTTTTATTACAAAAAAATAATCACAGGTAAAAAAAACATTTTTTTATCAGTTTATATCACACATTTGACATTATATCTCTGAACAAAAATAAAAACGGTTTTATAATTGTTTTAAAATTTGTTGAATGGCAAGATTAATGTCTTTCAGATCTTTATGTCCAGCTGGTAATGCACGATGGAAAATAGTCGATGCTTGTTGATAATACTTTAATGCCTGTTTGAAATCACGTTTCTGAGCATAAGCTAATCCTATATTTGTATAACTATTACCAAGTGACAGATGTTCAGGAGAAAGAATTCGTAATTTAATTGTAATTGATAATTGAAAATGTTCTATAGCACGATCATAATCTTTTAAAACACTGTAAACAATACCAATTTCATTATGAGATTTGGCTACAGTTAGACGATCATCACATGACTGCCTACGATCGATATCCAATGCTTTTTGGTAGAATTCTAATGCAGTTTCATATTTTTTCTTACGTCTATAATATGAACCAATATTACTATAGAAATCAGCCATATGTGAATGATCTTCAGCATGTGCTTTTTGAAATTGTTCGACAGCTTTCTTAAAACACTTCAATGCTTCTTCATCATTTCCAATAGACCAATAAGATTCACCAATACAATTATGTAAACTACCAATACTAATTAAATCAGATGGATTTGTTTTCTTTTTACTTTCTAATGATTGTTTAAACCATTTCAAACTAGCATCATGATCTCCTATTTCTTTATTGACTGCACCTAATGCACAATATATATCAGATCGTAAAGGATCATTCGATGGAAGTTCATTGACTGAAAGTAAATATACTTTTTCAGCAAGAGCATATTTACCCAATTGACGTAGTTTATTACCAAAAGTATAAAGATCAATTTTATTATCTTCATTTTCATTCTTCATATATTCAAACACAGGTCGAAGTTCATGTTCATCACCATTACAAAGTTTCATTTCCACCTTTAAATCATCTTTACCAACTGCAGTAACATTAACTATACGAAATATTGTTCCAATCATAAATAAGATTTCTCCTTGATCAATAAAACTATTGCTTTTACTAATATCAGCAAATCGTTTTGAATTGGAATCGACATTGATAGTAAATAAAACATGACAATCACCTGGATAAATCATTCTTTGATGTAAATTTCTTAATACTTTATTTTTATTGGCATCAGCCCAAAGAAATGATTTCATAGACATAAAGTTATTTGCTTGATTTTGAAGATCTTTTACTTCACCGAAATTCATAACTTGACCATAATAAACAGGAACTGATAATTCACATGTATTTTGTTTTAATTGATAATGCATATCACTAATTATCATACGAAATAAGATTAATTGGTTTAAATCTTGTTGACATAAAGCTTTATTTAACATTCTATATAGAAATGAGTCACGAGTATACCACGATAAAACTTGATCTGATGTTGTATATTCATCATTAAATTCACGAATAGCTTGTGATTGATTAGTATCGCCGGTATAATCCTTTTTACAAATAGCGAGAAGTTTTTGTTTTTCATTTGGAATTGGAGTTAATTGAAGAAGCATATTGGTTATTACAAGTGAATGAATAAATTGATTTTGAAGTCCAATTGTTGATGGATCAGTTCGGTCAGTAATAGAATAAATATTATATGATATTGATTCTTTTTTCTCTACTCGTTTTTTTTTATCTGATTTGATTCGAGTAAGTAGAACTTTTTGTTCAACAATGACGTCTTTCACCTAAAAAAAATTAAAATTTATTTAATAATATTAGATAAATATTGTATACTTTTGAAAAATCTTGAGACCATTCTCTATTTGATTCTTTGTTCATACAATAAACATAGATGGATGAAAGCTTTCGAAGATTATGAACTTGAGGAACTATTTCTCGACCTAATTTACCACTAACAATAAGAATAAGTCGATCTTTTTCATCAAATGATTCAATTTTTTCTTGACATTGAGAAAGATTATCAAATGTTTGCAGATTATTCACCATAGCACGAAGTAATGTTTGAGTTTTTTGATTATGATCTGCTGTATTGACTTCTGTATCAAGCCAAAATAATGAAAATGATTCAGATTCAGCACCGGGAACCACAGTATTTTTACGATTTGCGCCTGCCATTGCGTATGAAACAATTCTAAAATTCACACATTATAAATTTGATTTGTTCTGTACTAGGAAAATAACAAATGACGTCATTGAATTTTTTTTATCCAGTTTTATCAAGTAAACAAGTGTCGGCGTTCTTTTTTTACTCGCAATAAAAAAAAACCAGGTATATAAAAACGCCAGAAATAAACTTGTAGTTTCTACTTACTGAATTTTAAAAAGAAACCAATCAATACTCTCATCAGTAGCGTAACTAAGACAAACTTGTAAGGAGACTTAACCCCTTTTTTTTGGCATCTAGAGGGGGAAGGGGCTGCGCTTCTCTTCATAGCCACGATCTGGTTACGCACCTAACTATTAGTCTTAATGTGTTATGCATCTAGCTATGATTATCTACAGGCAGTCTAACTAGGTTGTAATAAAAAATCACTCAATTGCTAATTGTAAGAAGTCATTCCAAGAAATATTTGATAAAATTTAGAAAAACTATCTAATGATGTCAGATACTTTACTGTATATAGTTATAAATTTCAGTTCCGTCAAAACAAAATACATTTTCTTTGAAAGAAAAAAAGGTACCGCACAAACAGTGTCATTCGATTTTATGAAGTGTTTGAGTGTTTTTTACTCACCAAAAAAAGAAAATGTTTCACTATCGTGACTTTGGAATTTATGAAATTACAGGCTTCCTTTTTCGATGTCATACGTCTGGCTTTTTTTTATGTGTTTGCCAACTCATTACGTCATTTCACGGAGTTGGTATTTTTCCTTTTTATATGAAAATAATTGTTTCGAACAAGACTGTATACTAAAGAATTCATTACAATGATTTTTGCTTGTTATAAATATTGAAGAGTGACTAATGAACGATGATTAGAGGCATCTATTGATAATCTAACGTGATATGTACAATTCGATGAAAAGTATATGTATGAAACGAATCAAATTTTCATTTGTTCATACAGTATTCTGATGATTTAGACATAATGCACATTTTTTTGGATATTAACAATTGATAAGTTGTTTATTTTATTGAAACATATCGTATATAAGGTAAAGAAATAAAAATATTCATTTTAATAATAAATCCTTTTTTTTCTAATCTTTGTTTCACACGTAACGCATTCATTTAAAAAAAAAACTTTCTAAAAGAAATATTTTTATTCATTCAAATTCTAGTGTAGTTTCTATTTTTAACGAATAAAATAGATAAAAATTTTATCTATACCACACACATATATATAATATATAAATTGAAACAATACAAACATAAGGGGAAGATAATATCTATGTAGTATACAGATTAGTTCGTCTACTAGTATGGAATGTCGTTTAACTCGACAATATAACCGACTGACTGACTAGAGACGTTGATTAGATGAATATAAAACCATCAATACTAAGATGATATAGTTTTTGATATTGATAAAAATCGTTCATCAGTTATAACTACACCTTTTGCAACACAGGCTCGATCACGTCCATCAATTAAACATGGCCATATATATTCAACAATAGTTTCACTTTCTTTATCCGATGTATGAAAACGTTCATGAATTTGTTTATCATATTTTATTGTTTGAAATTCAATGTAATATGGAGGTGTTTGATTAACAAGACCCCATCTAGAAATAAAATAATCTCATTTTTTTTCTTTTGATTTTTAAATACGTACGCAGTTCGACATGCATTATTGATATATTTAAGTAATTCATTACAAGATTTTAAACGTGGATAATCATATAGAGTAGTCCATAATTGATTTTCTACTTCCTAAAATAAGATTTTTTATTTTTTAAATTTTAAAAATAATTTATTTACTAAAATAATTTTTCCAACATCATATTTTTGTATTGTAGTTCTTAAATATTTTTCAATTGTTTCTTCAAGTACAATTGAACTTTTATCATTAGTTAATTGAAGAATTTGTTTGATTTTATTTCGAATATCTTTCGCATGATTTTGTGCATGACGAAAAGCAAGCTTTAATAAAAAAACAAATAGAAAATTGTTTTCCTTTTCATTTATATATATTCTACATACGACAACAACTGAAAATAATAATTTTGATTTTAAATCTTCTGCATTAGACATTTCATGAATATTATCTAATGCATCAAGTGCATCAATTCGAGATTGAGAATAAAGTGTATTATATGAACGAATTAATTCAGTTGGACGAGATATTTGATTTAAATCTTCAAATTTACCACCTTTTTCTAATTGCCGTTGAGCTTGTTCGGCTAACCTAAATTAGAAACATAAATTGTTTGCTTGCTTGTGTGTCCGCAGGGTCAAAAAAACATCGAAAACCGATTTTCAGGAAAAGACATTTCTATAAGTAGTTCGAGTCCGAGGTCTACTGGGGAGCAAAGGTCAAAAAAACATCGAAAATCAATTTTTCACGGTTTTCAGTAAATGTGAAGAAAATGCATTTCTACGAGAAAGAGCTAAGCGAGTCCTCGGACGAGCGTTACTTGTTAGTATGTATCCTATATTACGATTGATAATGATTCTCTTATCCTTGCGCTAATTACCAGCATATGTGCTGTAATACTTAATTCTTTTTTATGATTACATATACATATAGAAAAGGTCAAAATTCTTCATTCTAATTAAGATTATAAAACATTCCGTTTTCTTTTTTAGATTCTAGATGTCTAGTAATCATCATCAAAAACTAATTATTTTGATCATATGTATATTTTCAGTGATAGAATTAATCATAAGTTTATATATACATATATATTATCAATGTGAATCTTATACGGAAGTAATATATTTTATTGAATCATCAGGTATAATTGGTTTTATTAGTACATTATTTTATTTTATATTACAAGAAATAAATAAAAATTATCGTAATATTTATTTAATATTATCAAATATTTATTTTGTATGTTTGATGTGTGTTAGTCTATATTGGTTAATTGGTTTAGCAATTGAATCTCGTCGATTTTTTGATGATTCAAGTCTTAGACAATGTCAAACGGTTATCTATTATTTTATATTGATTACAATAATTGGAAATTATTTGATTTTTCTTATGATTATTTTATATATCATATGGATTTGTTATTCTGATATGGATACTAAACACGATTTATATTCTCATGTTACACTTATTCATTAAATGTGTATATATTAACTGTACCTTTCACGCATTTGTTCTTCACTTTTTTGTAGACGTGCAATTGTTTCTTTTGATTTTTGTAACTCATTTTTTAACTGTGTTAAATCAGTTTTTAATCGTTCTTTTTCTTCTTGATCAGGATTTATTGTTTGTTGTTGTTGAACATTATTTCCCTGATCTGAAGTTGTAATATTTGGTGTTATAGGTGAAAGTGATTGTAATGATGCAGCTAATGGTAAAATCGATGCTTGTTGTTGATGATTTGTAAATGGCGTCGATGGACAAATAGGACTACTAGTTAATATTCGATTTCGTCCATTTGAATTTAACGATTGAAGTGGAGCTGGAAATAAAAAAAAGAAATTTCTTATATAGAAAATAAAATACCATGTACATTAACATACATTTAGATTTATCGAAATATACGCAAGATAAAGCTGTCGACATAACTGTTCTTTCACTTTTTCTCAATTCACATGGAGTAAAAACAAAACAGACAGACATTTTTTATTCTCTCTCGGCTTTTTTTTTTGTGTAATAAAAAATACTGATAATCGTAGTAGTAAATAGAGATGAAATCGAAGTTGTTACAAGAGAATGTTTGCTATTATCAATAACCACGTAGAAACGTTTAACTCTTTGCGTTTTGCATTAGAAGAAAATGTGTGTCTATTGTCAATCAAAGAGTCATATACGGAGATAATCTGGATATTCTTTGTTTCTTAATCGAGAATATTTCTGTTATCTATGGGGTCAATAATAACCTAGAAAGAATAGAATGGCATGACCATTTGTCTTAGATATATATAAATATTCTTCGACCTTTTATTATAGTTATTTGAAAAAAAAGACAGTATTTATTTAGCGTGTATCAGGTGATATTTGTTTAAGTTTATCTAAACAATAACTAGACTTATTTTAGAATATGTATTTAATATCAACTGTTGTCTCTTGTGGTTAATAATTGATCGATTCCTTAGAGAGATTTCAGTACTATTCTATGAAGAAATTAAACTCTTGTTATATTTTATCTTTAAATCTCTTACGCATTTGATCATCTTCTTCATCATTGTTATTATTGATAAAATTTATTGAACTATCATATTTCATTGTTATGGGTATACATGGCCTAGTATTAGTTTCTATATGTTGATGACGACAAAGTAATGTTGGTGTCATTGATGTTTGTGGTAGAATAATTGGTGATTGTTCATAATTACTTAATGAATGACAAGATTTCATTGTTGTTGATCGTTTATTATAAAATCTTTCCTTATTTTTTCTTAATGATTTACGTAAAGTATTTACAATTCCGGGTGATTTATAATTTTTATTTGATTTTATTTCGGATGAAACTGGTTGAAATTGATATTCATGATAGATTGTTGATGGCGGATTAAGATTATTTATATTTGAAGGTACAGATCTTGCCAACTGAGAATTATTTGTTAAATAAGATTGTTGTTGTTGAGAATTGTTGTCTATTTGAATACAAGTGTTATTATTCGGATTATTTGTTAGTGTTGTGTTTGATGGTACATGAAAGCTTTTGGTTCGATTAAGATAGTGCGCAGCTGTCGAAAGATATGAGTTAATGAATTTATTAGCAGGTTGTTGCTTTCGAAGATGATGATTCTTGTTAGTATGTGAAGTTTGTTGCGGATAAATAAAATGAAAGTTAATAGCATCTGACATGTTGATAATGAGATTTTATTCGATATTAGCGTGAGTAGAAGATATGGAATTTAATTAAGAATATATAAAATATTGCATGTGGGCGGATACATATGATAGTGAATGATCAGTAGAAAATATATGGATATGAACTATGATGAAGTTTGATAGATGCATTACATTGTCGAGTATAGAAAAAAAGTACGTGTATATATGTTAAGAGAAATCATCTCTTTCTCTTTTTTCTGTGAGGCGTACAACTTCGTCTCTTTCTTCTCTTATACCAAACATACAAACGCGATATTATATTAATGGATGAATGATAACTATAATCAAGCTCGTTTGCCATTACCGAAAGCTTTACTAGCGCTAGCAGATGCGCTCACATAGAGTGATTACTTAATGAAAATAATATAGATGTTTGTTCTTCTCATTATGATGAACGTAAGAGAGAAAAAGAAAAGATCTCTACGAAGTGTTATAGATCATTGATTTTGATTTAATTAACATGAACAAAAAACGACAAATCATCGGCGTTCTTCTTTTTTTTTTGTTCATAGACATTTGTTTTATTTGTATATGTAGAAATTGTTTATACCAGAGTAATACGTAGTTATGTTAGAAAGAGAGAAAAATGCATCATCATCATCATTATTTTATGCTTCAGCCATCTTTTGTAGTCTCTCGTTGTTATTATGTCCAATACAATGAGGTAAACATCTCCGACTGAGCATAAGAATAACTGTGAACCCAATCAACCGATAATATCCTGCTGTTATTCACTATTATTTGAGTAATCGGATAGAGAATATATATATATATAAATGTGCTCTTTTATCTTTAATGACTATGAACATAATTATAGGTCTATACAGATAAGTTAAAGAAAAGATTTCATATATGAATTCAAAGACATGATTCCATTAGTTATCGTATATGTCGATATAAAACAAAAAAAACTTTAATAGAGTAGTGTACGACCTTTTTCTTACCAAGGAGAGAAATACATATATATATATCGTCCTCAATGATAGCGCTTACATGTCAATGTCAATAAGATCTAATGCACATTTTCTACTAACTATTTCTTTATTGCTATCACATCTATGCTACAAAGCAGTATGAAGTAAGATATCATATAGATTACCAGTTTCAATAGATATAAATTCTTTTTAATCAATTAATAATTCCGTACCACTTATTATATGATTAATATAATTAACACATTGATTAAAAATTAAAAAAAAACTTGTTTATATTTTCAGATATAGAAGACAAAAATTACCTCGATATAATTAGTAAAATATAATTAAGTGTATGACAGTTTGAAGATATATATGTTCTTATCTATCTTTCAACACTCTATCATTAATATTCCAAATATTATCATTAAAAAATATTCGATTAATTATATATAAATAATCGATATATTAGGAATCCCGAAGAGAAGAAAAAGTAGACACATCTTTTCTGAATAGATTTAATGGTATCGAGCAACTATAACATCGATAAGAAGAATATATTGACTTTACTTATACGGATTTTATTCTTCAGCTTGAATTTCATTCAAAAACGATATAATAAAAAGTTTCATATTACACAATGATAATATTTAACAAAATTTTTGTTATAATTTTCTGAGTACGAAATAAGATTTAATTGAAAAATTAACTTACTGAATTGTCCATTTTTAACAGCCATATCATCTTTATATGGTTTAAGTTCATTTTCTAAAATAAATATAATAAATCTAATAAAATGATAAATTTTTAGCGATGATTTTCTGTCTAGCTTTACATATAAACTTACCAACACGTAAAATACGATGAGATGGTAATCTGAATGATCTATTCGACATTAGACGAGATGATGATGATGGTGGTGGTAATGGCGATGATGAAGAAAATTTAGGAGAACGAGACAAAGATGTAAAATACAGTGTCAATTGATCTTTGTCTATAGTTTTATTCATTTTCGTTAGTACGAGAAAGAGGAGGAGGCTTTACTAGCGTAGGATGAGTAATCCTTTTCTTTAATCGATGAGACTATTGAATTTGCGATTAGTAAAATTGAACATGGTACCATCGAACAGTAGTAGTTGAAAGATTTATATTTGACGAAACTCGATCATCGATTATAAGCAAGACAAATAGAAGGTTGATGATGATATATCTCATCATCATGTATCGATTATGTCCTCATAACTAGGTTTCCTCCTACTCTCCTTGTATGACAACTAACTCAAGATGAACAAACGAATGACACAAATGTTTCTATAATAAAATATGTCTCTGTCGCAAAAAAAAAGAAGAAAGAAAGATAATGCGACGTTATTAATAACCACGAAGGAATGGACACGCATGTCATCCTGCCGCTGGCGAAATTATAGTTCTATCTAAGTCCTTCTTCTTCTTTTGATTGTGCACTATATAGTTCGATTCCTTCCATGAATATTTGCTATACTATATCAACAAATAATCATGTTGTATCTATTCAATGATTGATTCAATCAACCATTCAATTGATTAGAAACTACATATAAACAAGATATCTATTCTACAAAGCTTAATGGATAGCAAAAAAAAGAAAAGATATACTTTCATAGAGCATAGAAACAAAAATACTAGAAGTTAACGAGGACATATGTACGTATTTTACTTACCATATCTGATACGACATGGTCGAATGTCTTCTAAAGCTGAATAACGTGCATATTTGTTGTTATTATTGTTGGCATTGCTGTGCATGTCAAGTTTCTTCGGTCTGAGCATGACTGTCGCCATTTTAAGATTATATATAATATATATATATGTATATGCGTATATACGAGAAATGATGAGAAATCAACAAAACGATCGTTTTGCCTCAAAGTCGTGACGATGATGTGGCATATGGTGTGTACGTGAAAGAAGAAGGAGAATGATCATGAGTGAGATGAGAAGAACGAGAAGGAAGAAGGCAAATGTCTATATACAAAGGTGGATATATCTTGCTACTTTCTCTCTCTTCTTACAGTAATTGCATTTACCCATTTGGATGATGATCATCATATTCTCTTTCTCAACTGTCTATCAACTATTAGTATATTCAATCAATGAAAATGTCCAATATAATAATCAATCTTTCGATAGAAAAAATGCAAATTATCAACATATATAAATATTTTATTCTACCTTTTGACTCATATAAACTATAAAACATACATATTTTTTATAATCGATAGAAAAACGATGAAAGTAAATAATAGGTAACATTTTTTTCTTTAATTATATATTTTATTATCATTTGATTTTTCTTATGTACAAAACTATTTAATTATACAACTATTTCTACATACTATTGAGATAATTGCTATATCATATACTCTTTTTCTCTGTTGCTGCTTGTAGGACATAACAGGGTTAAAAATGACTATATCAATCTGATGCGTGAAGAAAAAATGTCTTCCTATTCGTTTTTTTCGTTTATTATAGCGATGATTGAATTTACTAATGATTATTCTTGTATATTAATATAGTGGAAATTTACTTACCAGATCGTAATCGTTCGAAACATATTCCACCAGAACCACTGACACCTCTGACAGTCGTATCATCAATCACAATATCATCAGTGCAGTCGTCAATTAATGTACTGTCAGTTACGCGTCTCCACAATTGAATAATACCTAGAAAAGAAGAAAGCGTTAATTAATAATTTATTTCATTTGATGTCTTATTGTTGTTGTTCATACGTTCATATGCAAAAGCAAATCGTTTAAATAATGGTAATAAAGGTTCACCAAATTGAATTTGTTTTTCATGTATTTTTATATTCGAATAAGCTAATAAAATTTGTTTATCAATTGAAATTTTATAAGTAAGATTAGTTATAATTGCATAAAGTTTTGTACGTGATAAATAAGGTTCAATTAAATTTAATATAGCTTTATGTTGATAAAGACGCTTTTGTATATCATCTAATGTATTTGCTGTTGAAATAGTTATTGTTGATGATACATCTGTTGTCGATGAACGCATTGAAGTATGTTTTCTAGGCGTTGCTGGCGTTGAATGAACTGATAATGGAACGGATGGCATCGTTATTGATATTGTTTTTGTTCCAAGTTTATGTAATGCTTGTTGACAACAAGTAATGGTTGTTTCTAATTCATGACGTAAAGTTTCTTCAAGATTAATATATGTTAAAGATGTTGATCGCATTAAACTTGAATTATTTATTGTATTATTCGATTGACGTTGTTCAAAATAAAGTATACATTCATCCATTGTTTCTTTTTGACGTAAGAGACGTTTAAATAATATTGGTTGAACATAAGATATAATACGAAGTATACTAGCAAGATTACTTAATAAACGTTCATTATCAATAAGTTTTTCTTTGGATTGTTTTTGAATTATTGATGATGTCGAAGATGATGCAAAGATACTGATCATATTTGATATAAGTTGTTCGGGTTTAAGTATTCGAAGAGGAAATGTATCTGGATCAATGATGAATATTTTTGAATAGATTACTTCAAAGATTTCAATTGAAAATGGTAATTGAGCTAATAATGCATCGAATGATAAATCAGTTGTTAAAATTTTACGGAATGTATTTGAATTAAGACGATTAATATAAATTGCACAATCATCATAATTATGTGTTCGTAAATATTGTAAAATACGATTTGATGCAATATCGACTGGTGCATTACGAATACTAGTCATTATATTTAATGTTCTAGCTAAAATAAAAGATTAAAATCTATATTTATGTTGTAATATATATTTATATTTATAGTAATGGTTAAGGTAACTAATAACGCACCAGTAGATTAACTATAAATAACAGTTGTATTATCGTTGGACGTTTTTCTTTTGTCTTCTCCTTGTTATTCTATTGTTGTTTAGGGATGTGGTATCAGTGAGAACTTAGTTAGATTGATGAGAAGACAACATTCAGTCCGTTAGTAGTAGTTCTTCATTCTGTATGTTATATTACTATCACCTTCAGAGAGTAATATCAGCAATAACTAAACGAGATGAGATGTTTTGTCCTTTAGTTCTTCCTTTTCTCTTACGCGCATACATCTCTTTCTTCTAACTCTGATTGTTGACATCAGCGGTACTGATCTATTATCTATCTATTGCCACATATATAAGAAGATTCCCTTGACGAAAGAAATAACGTTTATGATTATATACATATACAATCTTCTCGCTCTCTCTCTCTCTCGTTCTTATGATATTGACTTATCGATGACGACAATTGTCCCTTTGCAGAAAGAAGTTAATGCACAGTTGCCCTTCATATACACTCGACACATGAATCAAATCAAACATAGTGCCAAATATTGTCAGAAAGACAAGAATAATTTTTGATTCACCATAAATATATTAATTCTTACTTTGAATCAACTTTATAGTATTATTATCTAAGTATCATGACAGAATGTCAAATAAAAATGAACACAAAACCTTGATTTTCTGTCATTTATACAAAACTTTCTTTTTCTTTTTTTGCTTCACAAGTAGGTTACACGATATTCTTGAATGTAATTAAGTATATTACATATTTTCATATCAGTAAGGTCAATGTTTATCTTAATAAGCCGAAATATAATATTGTCAATGTAAGATTATGAATAAAAAATGAAGCCATTTGATATTTTATTTCACAATTGAAGTTAAATAAACATACGATTGTATGTAAATTTATGTATTATTCTCTATACTTTTTCGAAGCCAGTCAATAGTACATCCCATGAAGTTTATTTTGTCTATGTTGATAAATATTTTTATATCAATCCAAGCAGTAACTGATCAATCGTAAAGAATAGATCTATATCATCATTTTTTTTTGAAACTAAAAACAAAACTATACAATGATTCAAATTTAATCTACTTCTTTTTTTTTCAACGTAATTTATTTTGCGATTTTAATAATGTAGAACTTCACGTTGAAATCCTACATATATATATATTTACAATTAATTGATCTTATTGTTCGTAAATAAAGTATAATGTACTTTTTCGAAATTGAAATACGCCCATACAATAATCTCTGACTGTATTATTCTTCATTTATATATTTTTTTCTTACAAAAGACATGTATTTGATCTTCTTCTCTATATTTCATCTATCTCATATTATTCAAGCAAGTCATTATCGCGGTTCCATGATATCTTGGCGAATAGTCAATGAATCATCTTCGTCTGTTTCTGTTGAAATTTTTCAACGACATGCTTGGCGATATACTTACTTCACTCCATATTGTACAGATGCAACTATTCCAAATGGACAGCCTCTTTTAGGTTCAGGTAGTTATAGTTGTGTTAGTACTTGTCCATCAGGTTTATCAACATTTGGAAATGTTCAAGTTCCTTGCACAGGTTACAATATTGGCGAACAATATGCAATGGGTGAAGGACGTTTTCAAATTTCAGTGCCACACAATTCTAGTTTTATAGCAGTATTTACTAATTCAGCGTGGTTCGATCTTGTAACAGGAATTAATTTAGTATGGAGTGTAGCTGTTCAAATTCAGACTTTTAAACGAATCGATAATGGACAATATAATCATGCACCCATTATTACTATGTTACCAATCTATCGATTGAGAAATAAAATTAGCTATTCACTTAAAATCAATGTAGCTGATAATGATTTTGATCCATACATTTGTTTATGGTCTACTGGTAGTAAACAATGTGGTGGATTGAGTAACAGTGTACCAGGTGGTATTATTGATAACTATGGATGTTATTTGAATTTTACACCACAAATAATCGGTTACTATGCGGCAGCGATTACAGCTGAAGATTTCATACTACTACCGAGTAATATATCATCTACTGCTTATCTCTCACAAGTACCTATTCAATTCGTATTTCATGTTTACAATTCGACGGATCCTTGTGTTACTGGACCTATTTATATAGGTGATCTCGTGCCTGATATATGTATATATATGGGAGTAGGTGATACTTATATCACACGTGTTCGTTTCCAAGTTCAATGTACGAATGCTACTGTTGCTAGTATTATTAGCGTTAATCTAATTGGTCTAACAACCACAGCTCTTCAACAAGATCCATCTGATTCTACTATTTTTGTATTCTTAGCTAATTTTACATCCAGTGCTAATCAAATAGGACAAAATCTCTATTGTTTTTCTGGTGTTGATTCGATTGGTAATCAAGGAGATTCAGCTTGTCTTCGTTTTACTGTCTTCTCACAAATATCCAGTCTTCAACCTTTATACACATCGAATGCAACTCATTATCCAACAGGAACAGTTTCAAAGACAACATCAGTATGGACTATTCTTACTGGATCAACAGTTTATCAACGACCAACAACTGAAACCTATATTCGATTCAAACTAACATCAGATAATACTGATTATTATATATTAAATGTTGTCACTGCCACTGATAATGTTCTTTATTTAACGAATAGTATAGTAATAAATACAGCGGTGATATGGACTCCAGGTGAACAATTTTATATTTATTTCGATCCTGGTGTATTAGATGAAGAAGGAGCTACTGATTCATGTACGAAAGTAGCAATGCCTATAACTGATCCAAACTTTTGGCCATTTAATATACCCTATGAATCGACAATAACTAGTACAAGTAATTAGATCACTTATATTTTAAGAATATATGTATATATATATTATTTTTAGCAACAACATCAACAACATCTGTCTCATCAACAACAACAATGCGAACAGTAAATATTTTCGAAAGAGATATAGACATAGATTTTCTATGAGCTGTTATTTCTAATATTATAAGACTTTATTTTCATTCAAAGATACCAACACGGCAAACATTGGAAACATCAAGTTCAACTACTTCAGTAACTATCGCTACTACTACGATAGTAACAACAACAGTCACATTAACGAATCCTGCTACAATTGCTCAACAATCAGAACAATTATCTATCAGTAGTATTGTTCTTATTACTCTAGCAAGTCTATGTGTTTCTGCTTGCTTGATATGGAGTAGTTTTTCAATTATTCGTATTTATTTGATTCGCTCTTTTCTTCTCGATTCGGCTCTTCGGCAACAGTTTCTTAGTATGCATTCAATACCGATACGTGACGAGCAAATGTCATCAAAACCTCAACATAAATTAACAATACGTCATTTTCCACAACATACTTTCTAGAAACATTCGGATTTTAAGAATAAAACTGTTAGTCAACAGAACTTGGTTGAAATACATACATAATTTTGGATTTTATTTTGTTATTTTTTTGACAGTTGAGTTTAATATATTACGAGACAATTTTAGAAATGTTTTTTTTTATGTGTTATATTTAAAAAAATTACAACGCAAACAAAACAAAGAGTTTCGGATAATTTTGATTATATTTAGAAATAAAAATAGATTGGTTTTTTGTAAGTCTTAAATTTGAGTTTATAAAATTTCTGTCAGTATAACTACTTAAATATACTAGATGGTATTCGAAAAGAATGAAATAGCAGACATGATGAAATAGAATGCTACAAGAAATTTATTGGTACCTGTAAACATGTCTCTAAAGAAATTCATCGATTAATCATTTAATATTCCTAGGTAAAAGATGGTTGCTAAATCGTTAAAAAACGTCTATTTTTGGGCTTTTTTGAGGGTGTGGGTCACGAATAAAAGAATACTCACACCCACTCATACATTCTCAAATACAAGTAGAAAATCATCAAATTAGTGATGCAATAACTATGCAATATGTTACAGAAAACTAAAAATCATGGAAGCAACAATTGTATTTTTTCGCCTACAGAATGACGTCAACTTAACATAATGCATTTGCAACAAACATAACATTTGAAATGCATGATAAATAAAAATAATAAACGCACTTCCTTCTTCTAAGCTACTATGTGAACAAAGTGGTAGCAGATGTCAATTGTCATGCGCAGTAATGATAATTAATGGTAGGCGCAATTCTAAAGCAAGCTGCTTTAGAGAAAACATGATTTTATTATTTCTAAAAAAATGTTGAAAATCAGCGCTTTTCATAGGAAATACAAAGTTTCCTGAATAAAATAAAAAAGAGAATCAATTTAGACAAACTATTTTGTTACACTTTTATTTATTTGAAAGGGTCGATATTTGTCAACGATGGTTGACTAAGGCAAAGCAACGCCCTCAAACGTTACCAGAACGTCGAAATAATCCATTAACTTAGAAATGTATAGAAAAAAGGGAAAATACGACCAAAACAAGGGCAGTAAAATGCCGTTTTCGACAACTGAAATGAATAATATGGGCAGTTATGTAGTTCAATATATAATACCGCAATTGTACGAATCTTATATTTTTTTTTATTAAAAAGAAAGCACATGTCTTGCGATAAGCAAAGAGTCTCGTACAATTCACTTTATCAAAAGCCGAGGAAAACATTATTTTTTTAGCTGTTTACATATTAAGAAGTGTCGCCAGATATCACTCGTCGACTGTTTCGGTTTAAGAGACACTTTTTAACAATTTTGAAGAGAAGAGGAATAGTAACGGTAAGTCCAACACTAAGACCACCATAAAAAGCAATAACTGTAGATGAGATATATCCAATATTGAAACGTTTGGAAATTGTATATGAACATTTATCTATGTGACAAGCATTGAAATATGCCTCAAAAGAAACGCTCTCCGACCACTTCTCGATGAAAAGCTGTTTTGTAATATTGTCTAGTTTCATAATATTGACTGGATGAAAACGAGTATGATCAGCAATGAGTGGAGTATAACGTATAGAGGAATCAAGTGCTTCACTTATCTTATCAATACATGATTGGTCATATAAACATTCTAAAGTAGATTCAAGCATCGAATCTAATGGCAGACAACCAGATAACATTCCCGGCACTGCCCATGGCGATCCAGACTCGAGTCTCAATTTCATTGTTTCTACGCATGTTTTTGACGTTGCACAGTTACACGATGACATGTTGTACTGTTGAGGTCGCATGTAGATTTTAGCACCGGGCCACACTCCTCGGAGCTCTGTATACCAGTTGGTACCAAATGCTGAAATAAAAACATTGTTCGAATACATACTACGAATCAATTCAAGTGAATGAATATAGTTTGATGATAATGAATTTGACTTAAAATTGAAAAGCGTAGCATGTATTTGTTGATAAAATACATCGGATCCGATCATACTAGTAGAGACGAAAGTCGAATTCAAGAAAAGAGAGAGCTCAGTATCAGCACTGTGCCTGGTTGTTTCACAGATGACTCGTAAAGCTTGAAAGTGTGAAAGAGCCATACGTTGAAAAGTAGGTACATTGTCTTCAGACTTGATTTCATGCGAAAAGGAAGAGTAGAGCATTGCCATCCAATCACTATCCAGATCGATAAAATCACTTGAACATACTTCATGAAATGACATCTTCAAGTCAATAAATGTATGATAGGGAATAGATACATTCGCACATGGGCAATCGACTAGCTCTTCGAAACTTTGGTAGACGTCAAATGTCGGTTTGTTCATATAGATTGTTTTTGTTTGATAGGTGAGTGCAGTAATCCACGTAACAATACCGAGTGTTAAAATAACGATGAATAAATAGACACGTGTCATTCGTCGTTGAGTTCGTAGTTCTTCTTCAGGAGGAAGTGGTTTGTTAACATTTCCGAATAAGTTAAGTGTGACCATAATCGTACGCAGCTTATTCCCCAATTTCATGATCACATTTTTAATACGGGAACCACCTATATTAGTACACACATCATTAGAGTTAAGTTTATAAGTGAGATTTCTCTGCAACTCTTTTTGAAGCCGAAAGTAACGTTTTAGAACGAACTACAAAGGTTTTATTTTCAAGGAGATCTAATAAATAATCGAAGATATAGGAATGGCATATGACTACTGAACAGCCTTTGAATTTCAGTTGATCTGATCACTATTTAAAGTATCCATGTCCTTTCCTGATATTGTTCGATTTGAGTCATATCCGTCAAATTTGATCATTGAAAAATCTGGAAGAACCCTATTTTTACATGTATTTGAAATGTTTTGTTTAGCTTGCTCACTATTTGTAGCACGTGCGGATTTTTCAACAACGTGATTGATCGATAGCTATCATGTTCTTTGAACTTTTCTTACCTGTTAGTTGGATGTCCTCTGAAGGCTCTTCTTGTCGTTCTTGTCTTTGACAGCGACTGAGAACGAATGTTACAATCAATGGTGTTACAAACCGGAATAGAGCAGATAAACCACCGAATAAACCGATCAAAGTCCAGATTATAGAATTGGGAGAAGGTTCTTGGGTGATCGTATATGAACATGAATCTGGTTTGCATTGTTCGACATAGAGTGTATAATTGAATGTTTCTCCCCATGATTCAATAAACAATTGACTGACGAGCAAGTCAAACGTTGCATTAACTGAAAACTTAGTTGGTTGTGATAGTGCCTCAAAGTTTTGAATAGAGTTATCAGGGCAGACGAATGTTCCAAGCATTTGCATAAATGTAGCGTTATAGAAAGATTGTATTCGCGATAGTAGTAAAGACTCAACAGGATAGAGGGATGCATAGAAGCCATCTACTGTCTGACATGGTCCTTGACAAGAAGAATGTATGGTGTCTAGCATTAGGTATTGTGTTTTACACTCTCGACTAATGAAAATTGAACACGACTGGTTGTAGACATTCCAAATGTGGTTAACGATCATCAGATTTACTCTCACACGACCTGTATTATTCCGAACAACGAGTTGGTAATTTGGCGAGAATAAAGTGATAAACTGGTTAGCGCGTGTCGTTACCCTGATAAGCATGACGATACTAGAAAATCGTATGGGTGTCATAGATTTCAGATCTGATACACTCGATTCTATACGAGACGAGAAGAGGTCACTTGTCAAAAGATTTTCAGTGACTAATTGTGTTTCGTTGAATTCATAAATTGCATTGTCGACTGCTTTTTCGGATATTTCGCAAAATGATTTGAGAGCTTTGAAGAGAGACCCAGCTTGCTTGAAATTTGTAATGTTATAACCAAAATCATCATAAAAAGCATGTTCTGTAAACTGCAAAACTAATTTGTCTAAAACAAATTTATTCAAACATACTTCATGATACGTTAGGTTGAACTTGACAAAATTCTTTAGTGGTGTTGACATGTTTGAACATGGGCACTGAAGGGATGATGAAAAGGTTTGGTTTTGTAAGTATAATATAGTGTCTAACGAAGGATTTTCCTTTTTCATTGATATCGACTGTATGCTCACCGCTTGATACACCAGGATAATGGCGAGAGTCAATCCAAGAAATAGAATGTAGAATCGGGTTGACCATCGTTGTTCATAGATATCACGAGGTGCAACATGTATTGCTGATTTAAAAAGATTTAATTCAAGCAGAGTGCGTTTAAATTTTCGCAGCCTATTCGATATGCCTACCGTCGTAGATGCATTCTGTCTGCGCCCAATCACTGACTTGATTATCATCGGAATGATTGAACGAAGAATAATCGAAAGTCCACCATAGAGTCCGAGCACAGTGCTAATGCCGTGCAAAATACGCTCGTTGATTGTATAAACACATGATTTCGGTGCACACATGTTAAAATACGATTCATAACTTATGTCGTCGTTCAACTCTTCGACAAAACTCGCATCGATAATAGTTTTGAGAGTAGTATTTTCTGGAGAAAAGATGGTCGGATGATTAGCATTCAGACATTTAAAACTGTTTGTCGATTTTCTAAAAAAAAGTGACAAGGAATCAATTGCAGCCTGATTGTAAAAGGTTTTGAGTGTCGAATAGAGAAGTGAATCAATAGGGAAGCACCCGATATACCATCCATCCACGACATCTAGATATTCATACACGTTGTCAGGATCATGCGATGCATAAACGTTATCACTTAAAAAGCCTGCCTGTGCCTGACAGTGCAACACCGCAGAACAATAACAGCAGTAGATGTTCATATGGTACATACAATTCAAGCCAATACTAGGCTTCCAACATCCATTATGATCTTTGAGTTCAAATAGGGAATAGGTTCGAGTTACTGACAGAAGACTATTGCTGTGAAAGAGTTTGTGAGCAGACATGATTGTGCGGTTAAATTTATAACCTATATCGTCTTTGAAAACACTAATACTCGCCTGTATTTGAGCACGAAAAACATTTTCGTTCAGGAGTTGATTGGTAATAAGTTGCGAGCCCTTAAATGAAGCAAGACTGTTGTTAACTGTTTCAGCACTTAGTTGACAGAAGGTACGAAGGAGTTGAAATTGTTGACTGGCAGTCGCACGAAAATCTCCGGGAAAGTAGAAGGGTGTTTTCTCTGGATCGTATAAATAATCGATCCATCGTTGTGTGACAAAATCACTTGAACAAACTTGATGATACCGAGGCGTTAATTTAACAAATTGCTCGTAAGGAACAGCCACATTTGCACATCGACATTTTAGCGAATCTTTATTTTTCATTTTTTCGTACAGACTAAAAGTAGGATTTTGTATTTCGATATCCTGAGGAGTACCTTCAACTAAGGCATAGATACTGGCAACACATAAAGTAACTGAGAGAGCAATAATATAAACACGAGTAGACCAACGTTGAATCCGTAAACTTTCATCATCTGTGGCGTTCGTTTCGAATAGATTAAGCTTGGTTAACCATTGAAAAAGCCACATCATGGCACTGTCACCTGAATTAGTAGCGATTGCTTGGTTTTTTTTGGGCTTTCTAAAACGGTGACTTAACCCAACTAGCAAATCAAATAGGTAGATAGAAAAAAATTATGCACTTGCAAATGAATGTTAATGAACGAAGATTCTGTGGTGTGTTATACATTTTATATAGAAGTTCATTTGTGGAAATTATTATATGTCACAAAAGAAGTCGTTGGAAATGATGCATTCATACTTTTGTTGTCCAGTTTCGCTTAGAAAAAGATCATTCGGTAGGAAGAAAAAAATACGGTAAGTCTGACATTTTGTCTATGAGTAGGATCTGATGAGACTAGACAAAGCCTAGAAGGATAAGAGCCCATAGATCTTTTTTCGCGACTAATAGTTAGGGACGTATCGAGCCCAAGCTTCTCGAACTCGATTAGTCTCGGGCTCAGTCAGGGTTCGGGTGTGAGGGTGGGTGAGAGTGAGAGTGTGAGTGAAAAGGATAGTACCCGCACTCATCATAGCCACACCGACCCACACCTATTCTCACACCCAACTCCTGAACGAGCCCCAACCCGAAAGTCTCGGTCAGGGCTCGAGCTCGGTACATCCCTACTTATGGCCATTTTAGCACGCTTTTCACCTATTACAAAAGGTTCACTGGATATGTAAATTGTAGAGTTGCGATATGAAACTTCACCTATATACATGTCTTATAATCCTTATAGTACTCTAAAAGTTTCAGCTCAAACGAAGGTTTCTGTCACATAATTATAAGTACTCACGGAAAGCCGATTTTCTTGCCCATATTTGCAGCACGACGGGCTTTGCTTGACAGCTAGATATTTCGTCACAGCAACGTTCGTTTTAGTTGAAACTTTTAAGATACTACCAGTGTCATAAGACATGCATATGGGTAGAATTTCAGAATGAAACAATGCAATTTGCTTTTTCGGTGAGCCTTTTGCCATACATGAAAAGCGTACTAACAATAGCTCTAAGTCGCGAACAAAGATCTATTGGACCTTATCCTTCCAAGCTTTATCTAGTTTCGTCAGATTCTGCTCATGGGCCAAATGTCAGCTAAAAAGCTTTTAATCACTCTGGGTGGTTCCCTCGTTAGAATTATTTTATTAAAATCTCTAAAACTATCGCTAAAATTTTTAATCCTTTTCCAACATTTTGTTTTTATCACAAATGAACTTATTTTTAGTTATATGCAATACCGACACATACACTATGCGTTCAAAGAATCATCGATAACTTACTGTTTTCAAAATCAATGTAGGTATATGACTACTGAGGCTTTTATCCGTCGTTTAACACCCTTTTTTCTTCCACCATAGACAGAGAATATGAACACCTACGTCATAAACATTTTAATTTTGAATATAAAATAAAAAAGAGAAAAGAGAAAAGGAAGTAAGTATGTTGGATAGAAAAATAAAACGAATCGGAAATGCGCAAAACATTTTTTTTCTATGTTTTAAATGAAAACATGATATAAAATTATTGCCATATGGCATGGTATCGTTATTGTTCAAATCAGCATCTCTATAACATTTTTCTGTGAAGCACAAAAAAAGAACACAACTTTTATGTAGTGACCGAAATATATATTGATTCATGCAAATAATTTCTTCTCACAATCAAAGATAGAATCATAGTGATCTAATACAAATATGTCTTTTCAATCATATGTGAATGATGTCTAACAAAGATGAAAGTTCTCATATATTCAACGGACAAGAAAGAGTAATCAGCCATTGATCAATTCGTTATATCAGAACTGGCTTCAGCACAGAATTATTTTTCTTGTAGAAACATGAAGTCAACTGACTAACTCAGTTACCAACATATGAAACTAATGCCATTGTTGCGATACAATTTAATTTCTTTTATTCCTCTTGATAGTTTTAAACTTATCATTGATTTACGTCACTTTCATGAGTTTGATCAATCACATAGTAAAAAAATAGTTCTCTTTTTCTTTGACACAATATGATACAATGCAGATATGAAAAATCTAAATAACAATGTTTTCGCAGAACTTAATTGACGTTTTTCAGCTTGCGTGAAGATAATATTCGAAGCGATATCGCCCACTTTCTTTTTTCATTGATAATATTTTGCATTCACCCACTAGTTTCCTTTCACTTTGTGTTCTATATCATGCTTCCATTTTTCATTTACTCATTATACATTTACTTCCGTGCTTTATACACATCCTCTCTCTTTTTTTCTGACGTATGCTACGTCAAAAGATAAGAGAGCATGATAATAGATAAAAGTGAATAAAATCATAAATCATTTTCTGTCACAACCGTCAATTTTTGCTAACGAATACACTACTTTGGTCAAGGTTTGTTACTGTAATTACACATTAGCATAATGTATTTTTCTTTGTGTAGATCTGAGTAAAAGTATCTAATTTCTTTCTGCTCATTTCCAAGCTCTACTTATTCAATATCAACAATCAGTGATATCATGTCTGTAAGTAAATATTAGAAATACTGCAATAAGCTACTCGAACAGATTTTATTCAGTCATCGGCCAGTTTTCGACTGACGGTTCGATAGTATTCAGTAGTATAGACTCCATTAAATTCTCCATTTTTCATCTGAAGAAAAATTATTTGCCCAAAATTTTCTAAAGAGATGGATACACGAATTGCTCTGATGTATTGATTATGGACTATTTCAATTATCCTATTTTCATGTGATGCAAATCAGTACATAGTAGATGCGAGTGATCTTTTGATTAGAAGAGTTGCACACTTCGTCTTGTAGTAAATGTTGATCTTTCTAATCATATCTAATATAAAGGCCGTTGTACATCCATCACACGAAGATCAGGACATGATGAATGCCACGCCAACTTTGTCAACAATGGGCCAAATGTTAGTATCAAACTATTCTTAATATTGAATTTGAATGTATGCTTCTATAATTTAAGTCGACGCTTCTTCACCAAAAAAATCATACTAATCATTTTGGGAAGTTTTGTTGTCGGAATGATCGTGACTACAGTCATCACGTTACCTATTATATTCAATCATTCCGATTTAAAATCATCGTCGACTAAAAAAACAACTTTATCTGGTAAGTGTCACTCGAACTTGCATAGTGCTCACAAAAGGGTCGTAATTGTGGACGGACATCAAGAATAATGAGTTTTTTTTATCGTTGATTATCTTTTTACGTCACCCAACATTTAGATGATTAATTTAGGTTTGTCGATATATTCCTTGTTGTTAATATTAGATAAAATAGTTGTACAGAAAAATAGCTCAAGCAAGAATATGTATTCCCTTGGAAAAGTGACTGAGAAGAATCTTTCCAACAATTAAAATGAGTATACGGATAAAAGCATCTCGAGTGTTATCGAAACAAGCAGATCAAATGAAGACATTTTAAAATGTGTCGGAAAATCTGGCTATAACCTCGATGATCTTGCGCCCATCTTCAGTTTCCTTCCCCTTAATAGAAAATTTTTTCGTAAGAACTTGAGCGGTTTAGACAGGTGAGAAAAAGCGGATCTTATAAAATTCTCGGATTCTAACAGATCCTCATGGATCCTCATCGATCCTGAGAATTTGTGCGGATCCACTGTGTCCCCCTTGGGTTTAGGTAGTTGTAGAATTTTTCAATAAAAATTGATACAATATGAAATTTCAGATGAATATCTAGGAATGACAACGACGATATCAACAACAACAACAAGTGCCATTTCATGCATGATGTCACAACGTAAGTACTCTTTAATTATGATTAAAATTTCATAGTTAAAATGGAGTTAGAGACTGATTTGTTATCATTCTCCACAAAGTAACTAGAATACGCATATTAGTAGATAGATGAGTATCAGGCTTCATATCATATTGAAAATCAGTGTACTGTTGTTCAAAAAAACATTTATTCTTATACAGATCGAATCTTGATTAGATATGTTTTGATAAATGAGCAACATGAATAATTCTACAACTAATTATACTACAGTTTTCCACATACTCTACCTATTGTTAGGAGTGATATGTTTGTTGATAAAACAGATGTTTTCTAATAAATTCTGAGTGAAGAAGAGTGTTCCTAGTTTTCAAGGATTCAAATAATTGAGCAAATTTGTCATACATGTTGAATTAATTATTTTTTGAGTTGGAAAAATAAAAGGACAATATCTAGTAATTATTTATCCTTGCTGTAAGAATTTCTCACGATGAGTTTGTTAGTAAAAAAAAACTTACAAGAATATTGTAATGTAGTTCACAATGTTGCATAACTATCGCAATAGTTTAGCACATAAGAAGATTTTTTGCAAAATATTGCCTTAGATTTTGACTTTTATGCCATCGAAACATTAATATTTTGGGTTGATTTAGTGCCGGCGTGTCCGCTATTGGCATTCGCTCCATATATTCCAAATAACTTGGCAGAGGGAACGGGGTTGGTTACCGTCGGTGATTTCAACGAGGACAATAGGATGGATCTCATTGCTAGTACAGGTGGTGAAGAAAGTGTTTCTGTACTACTCGGTTACGGAACTGAAAGCTTCATAGCGCCGCTGAAGTCTCCAACTGGTAATCATCCGCAACAGTTGGCTGTCGCTGATTTCAATAATGATAAACACTTAGATATCATCACCGCCAGCTATGCAGACGAGGTAAGTATACAACTTGGTTATGGCAATGGGAGTTTTGGACTGCCAACAAGTTTTGCAATTAGCAGTTCTCCATTTGGAATGGCTGCCGTTGATATCAATGGTGATACCTATATGGATATCGTTGTACTAACCGGTTACATGTGTGATACGTTTCTAGGCTATGGAAACGGAAAGTTTGCACCGAAAGTGTCTTTTATTGCTGAACGGGATTCATTAGGACTAGTTGTTGATGATTTTAACAACGATAACCATATTGATATAGCCGTCACAAGTGTAACCGAAAGGGTTGTGAAAGTTTTTCTTGGATATGGGAATGGAACCTTTCGAGCAGCAATTTCTACTTCAACTCTAGCCCAACCATTAGCAATTGCTGCCGGAGACTTTGATTGCGATCAAAAGATGGATCTCGCAATTGCTAGCTGTGGAACTAACAGATTGTATATCTTTCGTGGGTTTGGTGATGGGCGTTTTGGTGCATCGATGAATTATTCCACTCCAGCGTGTCCGACATACATAGCAATCCACGATGTCAACAATGACAACCACTTGGATCTCGTTATTGCTAACAGAGATAATGATACTTTCAGTATATTTCCTGGTTTTGGTAATGGAAGTTTTGGGATACAACTGGTTTTTCCTACTGGAAGGGACCCGCGCTCTCTTACTGTTGGTGATTTCAATGTTGATGATCGATTGGACGTTGTCGCCGCTGGTTATACAAGTGGAACTATCGATGTCTCTCTCAACATATGTTAATGCCATACCATTTCTTTCGAACACTTTTCTTTTCAATTCATGAATCATTTTATTTAATCAGTGCTTGACGTGTGCTTACTAAATCGCTTTCCATTTCTAAAATAAAATTATACATCATCATCGTATTCTCTTGAGAAAAGTTCAAAATCATTCATATTTGTTCTTCTATTTACATATGTCAAAAAGTATTCACTTACCGTTTTGTTAAAATGAAACCAACTATTGACATGCTAGTCATGTTTTCTACATATTCGAGATTCATTAACAAAGAAAGAATTCATTTTAGATTGATAAAGATGATAGACTTCTGCATTAACTATTAGTGCATTCAAAACAAACAGTGTATTATTATTGCAACTGGATGGATTGAGACGGACGATAGCAATCGAAACTAAACTTTTAGTTGGCTGGGCATAATACAAAGAAACATTTAAAATGCAACTACATACTATATAATTTTATTCTTCAGTCAGTAAACCGTTGCAAGTCGACTAAGCACAAGGATGGGCTATACCAGACTTGGAACAGATCCCTTCTTCACTGGTTTTTACCGCTCTTGATTTATTTTTTAAAGATATTCTGGGCGGGTGTGGATGCGTGTGACTGTCTCTTCTCTTAGCTGACACCCACACCCTCAAGAAAATACTCATCAGAAAAACAAATCTTAATCTTAGTTTCATTTTATATTCCTCATTTGTGTGTGAAACGTTGTACTCCTGTTTGATTTATCGAGTAAATGAGAATAACTTCTCTCAGTCAACTTCATGAACAAATCAATGTAGAAGCTATTACAGTATACATGTCTTCTCGTTTATCATTTACATTTACGTCCTGTCGATTACTCTTTTAGAAATTTGATCAAATGATTATTACTAATCAATTCTTATCGTTGAAAAGTTTTTTTTATTTAAATAGATTCTCAAATGCAAAGAGACACAACTGTAATAATCTTTTATATTGAATAAGATAGAAAATGATTAGTTGATGAAAAAAATTGTATAAATATGAAATGGTCTTCATCGAAGTGTTTGAATAGTTTAGAGCAAATTATCGTTTTCACCATAAAACCAGCTTGATGGAGAATATACATCGTCGGTAAGGGCTTGAATTTCTTTCGGCTTTAATTGTCTTGCATAAAATCGAAGTTCATCAATAGCAATGGAACTTCCACGTGAGAAGATTTGTTTTTGATTGAGATGACACATCAATGAATATGATTGATTTTGAATTGATTCATTGGAAGGATTACCAATCGTTAGCGATAAACGTTGTTCATTGTTTATTTGAAAAGTATTCGAAGTATTCAAAGAACCGACAAGCACTGCATTTAGATACAAATCGAAATTGTTTGATGTCGATATCACTGCAATGTGATACCAAGTCGATTGTTGCATCATTACATTTGATCTAATCAGATTTTGTCCTTGAGGTCCATAAGTGTATATCGATAATTGCATTGTATTGTTTACTAGAATTAATCAATGATAAATATAAACAAAGTTTACAAATAAAAAAAATAATCTTAGTGTCTTAGAAAAATTTGAGCCAAATATTCAGATAGACGAGAGAGAAATATTTTCTTGTCAGTCATGGATATTAATCTATTTACGATCGAATGTAATTCATATAGTTTTCTATTCAAATAAAAAAACTTACATGGATCGATTTTATCAATAATTAACATTGCCAAACAAGTACTAATGCTATTCGATGAGGAGATTTCGTCATTCATAGTTATATGTAGTAATGTAAGATTTGAAGAAGCATTTGAAATAGAAATCCAAAATGCATATGAATATGTATAATTATGAGTGTAGAGAAGAGCAAAACCCGATGATTGAAAATAAGATAATGAAGAATCGTTGAGAAGAAGAGTACCTTGTCCTGTACGTCTGCTATCAACAACACGACTAAGATTTGCTCCTTTTGCACGAATACAATTTGCACTTGAATCGTTCAATAAACTATCATTATTCGCGATGTCGCCTTCGAAACGATACCAAATAACAAGAGTTGCTTCATCAAGTATATCCACTCTGTTTTTAACACGATATGCTATTGATAGTTGATCTATTAGACCATTGTATCGATTAAATTCAGCGGCGCTTCCAATGGTTGTCGTTTCAATTTGAGATTCTCCATATTGAGGGGAAGCAATTGTGCCATATGCTTTGAGTAATCCATCAATACGGATGGCCATTGATAAGTCACTTTGACTAAAGGTATATGTGACATATTGCCATTGAGAGTTTTTCAATTGAACAGATGTTTCAGTAAATGTGTTATAGACGCGTATTCGAGGACGCCTATCAATAATTCCAACAGCAAAAAAATTATTACCTCCATTCTTGTACCTTTGAGCTAATATAACAGCAAGTGAAAGTGCAGAAAGATCAGGTTTAACCCATGCACTAATAGTAAACGTCTGATTAGCAAGTTTTGGTGAATGCTCAAGTTCGATGTATTGATAAGGAATCGATGAGTTCAGTTTTAAGGCAGCTCCCTGGCCAGAATAGTCAGGCGTGACATAACTGGGTAGTATCCTTTGTAAGGTTTCATTCTAAACAAATAATTAGTAATATCATCTGAATACATCTTTGAAACAATTTCTCCTGTCGTTAGTCATAGCTATTCATTTGTTTTATATTTATTATCTATTATATATTTGAAAAATTCCACATATATATACATATAATATTTCATTTGTTCTTTGATCAGACATGAAAATAGCTCGTAGTGATACTTACATCTAATTCAGTTTGGGACATGGCAGCAGGAAAACCATTGTATGTTCCAGAGATATCATCAGTGACATTTAAACAATCGAACGAGTAGAGTATATCCGGTGTTATTATACCAAATTGACGATGAACGCATACTTTATAGAATAAAACAAAATGAATATCTTACTGTGAATTTTTATAATATGGAATATCGTCTGGCATATTCTATATGCTTTCCTCAGTTTTCGTCAACTGGTCTTGATCGGATTGGAAAAGGTACAAAAGAAGAGACACTGATATCATTCATAATAACATACGGACGAAAATTGATTCTATTGAGTGAATAGTTTTTAAGTAATAGTGATCATCGAATAAATCAATAAAGAGAAAATATACTTATACTTCATTTTCATCGAAAATCCAGATATGAACAAGAAATACAATACTACTATTGACTAGTATGTTTACGTTGATTACTCACTTGATTAATATTAATAGAATCAAATTTCTTGCTAGCTTATAGAACTTACCCGGTTCTTTATGGTTTATTATTGTTGATGATGCGGTAGTAAATGAGGTGGAAGATTGAAATGGATTGATTCCTCGTGGTTTAATAACAAATATATAAACACATGGTATAATCACAATTAATAACATGGATAACACTGTTATTGATATGAGGATGATAAGAATGATTTTTCTTCGACGATATTGTTTGAATCTTTCGTGTTGATTCACAGGCACAGGAGGACATGACATTGGATTAAAATCGGGATCCATTCAATCAAAATACTCGATTATATACTATAGTAATAGAGAATATGAGCAAGCGACTATTTGTCTTAATGAAAAAATACATCTAAGCGAACAACTAGACAATGCGCATATTTCTTTTTTTCTGTCAGTAGTTTCATATTGCTTGCATTTTATTTCTTAAATTACCTGTACAAGTGCTTCAATTATTTTGGTGTAGAGCTACAAGAAAATGTCTTTTTCTTTATATAAAAAGGTAAACCAGTATTTATCGGTATAGAAGAAAGGTAACCAGTATTTAATTGTATTGAAAATATTCCACTGGTACTGCCAAATGATTCATCACTTCCATTTTTCTGTTTAATAATGCATGCAATTATATGATGACGAAATAACAGTATACAGGTATAATAAAAATGTAAGATTGCCGATTTGTGTGGGATAGAAATTTGACAACAGATTAACCTAATTGTCATTTTTAGTAGAGAATGTTATTTTATTTAAAGAGTATTGTATTTTGACTATCGTTTTCAGATTGTTCGAGAATGGGAATTTCAAATACAAAGAAAAAACCGTGTGAAGAAAAACAAACTGATCAATTGATTATATTAAATGTTGCTTCACGACATTCTACGTCTGTGAATGAAGAACGAAGAGAATCATTCTATTTAATTTGGCTAGATGAATGTGCTAAAAACGAATCTCTCGAATCACTACGTACACAAGCACTTTTGCGAGAAATTAATCATGATAATTGTTTATTTTTTAATCAACCTGATCAATTTTTTGTTCAAATCAAAGAATTAGAAGAGAGACAGCAACAACTTTTAGTAGTAATATCTGGATCGCTTGCCGAAGAACTTCTGCCGAAATTACGTTCTATTGATTCAATACCAATTATAATCATCTTTTGTGCAAACTATAATCAATATGTCTATTTACTTAATAAATATCCAAAGGTTGTTAGGATTTGCACTACATATGAAAAATTGCAAAGTTCAATTAGAAACGAATTATTATCATCAAAATTCAATTTATTTGAAAATCAATTCATCAAATATATTCGACCATTAAATTCAAAAAATGGAATTGAAAATCATAGTGCGTATTATTCATATATATCATTTATACAATTACTAAAACAAATGCCACAAACAGAACAAGCCAAAGAGAGTATGTTAAAAACATGTCGAGATTATTATAGAGGAAATTCAACAGAACAAGGAAAAATCGATGTCTTTAAAAAAGATTACAAAGCAGATAAGGCCATTGATTGGTATGTTGCAGAGTGTTTTGTTTATCGTTTGGTAAATCATGCATTTCGTACTGAGGACATAACATTGTGGTATGCATTTCGTTACTATGTTGTTGATCTTTGTCAACAAATGGAAAACGTTCATCAAAAACAAGCTATTCGAAGTCTTTTAACAGTTTACCGTGGTCAAGCTCGTATGCCGATAAGTCAATTCGAACATTTGAAATGTAATATTGATTGTTTAGTTTCAACCAATGGATTTTTCTCAACTTCAACTCATCTTGACATTGCTCGAAGTTTTATTGAAGGTGCTAAAGATACAAACAATTCGAAAGCTGTTCTATTCGAAATCACTGTCGATGGATCTAATCTTCAAAACACAATTTTTGTTGATATTGATCGGTATATAAATTCTTCTGATGAAGGTGAAGGCGAAGGTGAAGTTTTATTTAATATTGGATCAGTCTTTTGTATTGAAGATGTATTACGTCATTCCAGTTTCAATGTCTGGATGATCAAAATGAAAGCAACCGATGAAGGAACAGATGAAATTAAAAAAAATCTTTATGAAAAGAAAAAGGAATTTCGACAAGAGAACATCAATTTATTATTTGGTCGTTTATTAATTGAGATGAATGAATATTCCAAAGCTGAATCATATTTTCGAATGTTATTACAAGAATTACCAAGATCACATCAAGATATTCCTTTAGCTTATGATTATATCGGCGATTTAAATATGAGATCAAGTAATTGGAATGAAGCACTTCATAACTTTAATTTAGCCTATGAAATAAAAAAGAAATTCCTCTCTTCTAATCATTCTCTTATTGCTATAACATTAAACAGTATTGCAAATTACTATAAAGCAATCGGAGATTATTCTCAAGCACTTCAATATTACACAAAAGCTTTACATTGCAACAATGATCAACCCACTATGGCAAGAATTCAAGTTAATATTGCTGTTATTCATGCAAATAATAAAAAATATGGTGAAGCTATTGATTTATGCATTAAAGCACGTGAAATTCTTCAACAAATATATCCTCAACCATATGATAACATTATTTATGTTCAAGGAATTATAGGACACTGTCATGCACAAAACAAAGAATATCAGATTGCTGAAGATTACTATGTAGCTGCATTCAAAATGAGTGAAAAAGTTCTATCCATTGGTCATCGATTACGAGTTAATTGTATTAAAGCTTTAGCTGATCTATACAAAGAACGAGGCATGAAACAAATAGCTATAGATCTTTGTCAAGACAACCTATCCTTGTACAAAAAATATCTACCTGCACATCATATTAG